GCAATTCAGGCAATCCGTCGAGTGGGTGGTAAGCGACTCGTGCTGTCCCCAAAGTGCTACAACTTGGCGCTCAGATCGTTGCTTCGATTCGACATGACGGAGTATATGGGGAAGTTGTACTCGCACCTCGTGCAGGAGGGATTGTTGCCAGACACAGTGACTTACAACACTATGATCATGGCATACTGCAAGAAGGGCAGTCTCGCCATAGCACACCGGTATTTCCGTCTGTTGAGGGAGTCTGGGATGGAGATGGATACATACACATGTAATGCATTGTTGCTGGGGTACTGCCGAACAGGTGACTTGAGAAAGGCTTGCTGGCTACTTATGATGATGCCGCTGATGGGTTGCAGGAGGAACGAGTACTCCTACACCATTCTGATTCAGGGGCTCTGTGAAGCACGGTGTGTAAGGGAGGCACTTGTGCTTCTGGTCATGATGGTACAAGATGGGTGCTCCCTGAATCTGCACACATATACACTCTTGATCAAAGGTCTTTGTAAGGAGGGTAGGATTCATGATGCCAGGAGGTTGCTTGATGAAATGCCTCTGAGAGGGGTGGTTCCAAGTGTTTGGACGTATAATGCAATGATTGATGGGTACTGTAAGTCAGGAAGGATGAAGGATGCATTGGGGATTAAGGCACTGATGGAACGAAATGGGTGTAATCCAGATGACTGGACATACAACACTCTGATTTATGGCCTATGTGGTGGGAAGCCTGACGAAGCTGAAGAATTGCTGAATGGCGCTATTGCGAGGGGCTTCACGCCTACAGTTATCACATTCACTAACATTATTAATGGGTATTGCAAGGTTGAAAGGATTGATGATGCACTCAGGGTAAAGAGTAGCATGATATCAAGCAATTGCAAACTTGATTTACAGGCATATGGAGTGTTGATCAATGTCCTCATCAAGAAGCATAGATTAAAAGAAACTAAAGAGACGCTGAACGAGATGTTTGCAAATGGTTTAGCTCCTAATGTTGTCATCTACACCTCTATAATTGATGGGTATTGCAAGGTTGGGAAGGTTGGTGCTGCACTAGAGGTCTTCAAATTGATGGAACATGAAGGTTGCCATCCAAATGTCTGGACTTACAGTTCTTTGATGTATGGGTTAATTCAGGATCAAAAGCTTCATAAGGCAATGGCTTTAATAACTAAAATGCAAGAGGATGGGATAACTCCTGGTGTTATCACTTATACTACTCTGATTCAAGGCCAGTGCAAAAAACATGAATTTGATAATGCTTTCAGGTTATTTGAAATGATGGAGCAGAATGGCGTGACACCTGATGAGCAAGCATACAATGTCCTAACTGATGCACTATGCAAGTCTGGAAGAGCTGAAGAAGCTTATTCATTTCTTGTCAGGAAGGGAGTCGTCCTCACAAAGGTAATATATACATCCTTAGTTGATGGTTTTAGCAAGGCAGGCAATACTGACTTTGCTGCCGTCCTTATAGAGAAGATGGTCAATGAGGGTTGTAAGGCAGATTCGTACACATATAGTGTACTGTTGCAGGCTTTATGTAAACAAAAGAAGTTGAATGAAGCTTTGTCTATACTGGATCAGATGACCCTAAGTGGAGTCAAGTGTAACATTGTTGCTTATACAATAATCATCAGTGAAATGATCAAAGAAGGGAAGCATGACCATGCTAAGAGCTTGTTCAATGAAATGATTTCATCAGGACATAAGCCTAGTGCAATCACATATACTGTATTCATTAACTCGTACTGCAAGATAGGTCGAATAGAGGAGGCTGAGCATCTAATTGGGGAAATGGAAAGAGACGGTGTCGCACCTGATGTGGTAACCTATAATGTATTCATTAATGGTTGTGGGCATATGGGATATATGGATCGGGCATTTTCTACTCTGAAGCGCATGATAGATGCATCATGTGAGCCAAATTACTGGACTTATTGGCTTTTGCTCAAGCATTTTCTAAACATGAATTTGGTTAATGCTCATTATGTAGACACATCTGGCATGTGGAACTGGATTGAGCTGGACACAGTTTGGCAGCTTCTTGAAAGGATGGTGAAGCATGGCTTAAATCCTACAGCAGTGACATACAGTTCTATCATTGCAGGATTCTGCAAAGCAACACGTCTAGAAGAAGCATGTGTGCTTCTTGATCATATGCGTGGAAAAGATATATCTCCCAATGAAGAGATATACACAATGCTTATCAAGTGTTGTTGTGATATCAAGCTCTTTGAAAAGGCTGTGTCATTTGTTTCCGACATGATAGAATTTGGGTTTCAGCCTCATCTCGAGTCCTACCACTATCTTATTATAGGGCTCTGTGATGAGGGGGACTATGACCAGGCTAAATCACTGTTCTGTGACTTACTAGGAATGGACTATAATCATAATGAAGTTGCATGGAAAATTTTGAATGATGGTTTGCTCAAAGCTGGCCATGTGGATTTTTGTTCACAGTTGCTGTCTGCTATGGAGAATAGACATTGTCGGATTGACTCTGAGACATATTCAATGGTGACTGATAACATTCATGAGGCTTCTGGCAGTGTGGTTAATGAACTCAGAGGAGAAGCTGCCTGACCGATGGTAAATTTCATTTTCTATTCTTTCCCACGGTGTGCAACTGTTTTCTGTGTGCCAGGCTCAACATTTTGAAATCATCCATTTCATCTGGGTCATCTGATATAATGGTTAGTGGTCCCACAGATCATGTGGAGTATGCTGTTCGTACCATATTTTTATCAAAATGCGTGTTGCCTCAAAACTGGAACAACATAGCTTCTTTCATCCATTTTGTTCATGATTCCATTGAAGCTCAAGCTTGGGAATATTCCAATTCTTATTGGTCTGTATATCAATCGATAATTCAACCTTAGGTAATGTTTTGCTTGGCTGTTAGTCTTGTAAAAGTGTATGCAAAAGCCTTCGGTGGACAACTAGTCTGAGTAGATTATTCCTTCTCTATGGTTGTGTCATTCTAGTGCAAGTGGTAATCAGATACTGAAATTCTACTGCTTACGATTTGATGTTTACTAAGCTTTATCATATTCATGTTGATTTGATAAACAACCAGGTGGTGAATAGTTTTGATGACATAACTTGTAATTCTAGGCAATCATGTTCTTCTTTCCCTGACAATCCCTCCAGCGTGTAATGTCTACTTCAGTAAAAAAAAATTTAAAAAACAAACTTCCTGTTTAGTGCTTATGTTTGTAGTTTTGCACGGTTCTTTTATACGCTGATGGATCTAACAAGAAGTGTTTCGCTCTGTAGCTGTGTCCTGATAGATTGTGCCTAAGTTCTTGTTTGCTAGTAATTGTGCACGTGTCTTGCAGATGAAGCTAAAACAAAGAGTAGTATTCCATGTCATGAAATGATTTTAGATACTGTCGAATACTTTAAGTTTAAATACTCCTCATTAATATTTATGGCACACAGCTGAACCAAACAGACCCATAGTATGCTTCCTGACATGAAGTTAGGCTTTACCATTTAATCTGGGTGACATTTCTCTCTCTTGTAGCTACAATGCTCAATATTTATAGCAGTTCTATTCTCTTTTTTTTTCAACAGGTCACGACTGAATAAGCTATCATTTGCCAATTTTCATTACTGTGTACAGCCTGTATAAAATGATAGCTAATGTGTGATACTTAGGCTCTGTTTATTTCAGCCAGTTTCTGCCTTTTGCCTAAGCAGCAAGCTGAAGCAAACAGCTAGCTTTTGAAATCGGCTTTTGGGAAGCAACACTTTGTTTTTATTAGAAATTTAGAAGCTAGAAGGTGGTCTGTAGGAACTTATGTTGACTTCTAAGTTCTAAGGGATTATAATCTGAGGGGTATTACATATATTATACATTTCAAGAAACAGGTTTTCTAGAAGCAGTGACATCATTTAAAAGCCAGTTTTTGAAAAGCATCAGCACAAACCAACATGACCTTAGATATGGTGCTATTGTTTATTAGTGTGCCAGTGCTAACTGTGATGTACCGTTTTGATATACTTGCTTTAGAAGTTTCTTGGTAGTGTTGGGCATGGCAGCCTGCCTTTTCTGTTTCTTTTTTCTTTTTAAAAAAACTTGGGAGTCGAGCATCTGATTATCCCTTTTTGAAGATTAAACTACTCCAGAGCAATGAAGCCTCAGTTTCATTAATTTTATAGACTTGTTGATTCCTCAGGTATTTATGAACAGGGGCATTGCTTAGGAGTGAAAGTAAGAACTTACCACTGCTACAATTCAATCAGGACAGGAGGAAGCCATTTCATCAATTGATCATCATTTTCCAGGAAATGACAATGCTAATAAGGGTGATTTAGTTCAAAATGACTTTCATAGATGTCCTGATCCTGATCTAAATCAGATTTCTGGCCGGCATTTTCTCAAGTATGCCTACCCCCAATCCTGATGTCTCTCTCGCACCTCTCTCCCCCTCCCCCTTCCTTTCCCCTCTTCCTCTCTCCATTACAGGCATGTGTGTACACAGGCTTTAGTTACTTTGATACACTGGGACCTTCTCACACATTATTACAGGCAGTGTTTCATTTGAATGGATAAATAACTTAATCCTGCTTTTTTTCCCATGTAGCATGGATGGTTACTGCTGCTATATTTATCCTGTCATTGAGAAATTGTTGCAAGGTTTGTGGAGTAATAACTTGGAGCAAACTAATACAGAAAAATGGTTATCATGGTAAATTCCTGCTGCTTCCTTCATGTCAATTAAACAGAATCCATTGCCAGTTTCTTTTTTTCGCATCTAAAAATCAACTTTATTTTCTCCCAATTTGAGTAGGAGAGTTATCTTGCTCTCTTCATGATGAGGACCTTGGTGGTTCGTCAGCAAAACTTGGGAATTAGCAGACAAAGCTGCCCTGGATCAAGTCTGTAAAGCAAAATCATCAGATACTCTCAAGCATTCACCTGATGATGAAATAGAAGGGGATAGTTTATTTACAATCCAGGCTACTCGACAGTATTATTTCTATGAAGCAGGGACATGGTAAGTTTTCATTTGTCATGTACATTATTATTCCTTATGCAGCCATACAAGATGGTTTTGGTTGTTGCCCGCTTTATTAATTCCCTTGCTGCTGCAGTACTATTTTAATAATTAGTCTTCACAGTGCTAAAATGAACTGGTTAGATGTGTTTATATTTCTTCAGCTTTCTGAATCGAAATTTCAGTCCGTCTTATATCTTGTGGAAGATTTGATACTCAAGGTTGTCCGGAATATTTCTTATGAGTTGGATTCTTTCAACAAAAAAAGAAAATGGGATCATATCATTGTGAATCAGTTTCTTCATGATCTGAGGGAAGCTAAGAAGCGCGAAACTCAGAGAGGAGACACAAGGAAGCTCTAGCTATCCTGGCTGCAACTGCACCTTCTGTTGTACCGATCTCACGAAATGCAACAGCGAGGAAAGAGACAGAAAACAATGTGACATCTGCTAAACGAGAGGTTATCACTGTGCTTTGATTGTTCAGTTGTTTCTTGTTTTTTTATTGACTTCTGTTTCTTTCCAGAATATGCTAGAAGCAATGCTGGATCCTCAAGAGTTGGCCAACTATCTTCATCACCACGAGCAAAGGATTTATCATTTTCCAATAGCAAATTCTCAGAAGAAATTAACTTTGGCATCTTCGATCTGGCTAAATTCTCCTAGAAAAGTGTTCTTCCCTGTGATATATGCATGTGATGTGAGTATTGAACCGTATTTTTGTCTGCTCCGCCTGCAAGGTGATTTGCAAGTACCTTGCTCACCGGGCTGTGCTTGCCGCCCACTCGCCGGTCTTCAAGGCGCAACTCCTGGGCTCCATGGCGGAAGCGGACATGTCATCCATCATCTTGCATGACATTGCGCCGGCAACGTTCAAAGTCATGCTTCGGTTCATGTACACTGATGCTTGTCCTGCCGATGACGAGATCGGGGACTCCCTGGGCCCCGGAGGATGGCATGTTTTGGCACTTCTAGCTGCAGCAGACCGATTCGCATTGGATTGCCTCGAGATTTTGTGTGCTGTAAAGCTGTGGGATAATATATCAGTGCACACAGTTGCTGCCACTTGGATCTGTGCTGAAACATAGAACTGCCGGCGGCTGAAAAAGAAGTGCATTGACTTTATTGCGAGATTCTTGATGAGTTGAGGGAGAAGGTTGGAGCATAGAGGCCGGCAGCATGCCGGCATATATACACGCATGCTATCTAAATATTGAAAAGTGCTTGAATTTTCGGTTTGTAAGAGTCGCTACTATTACGTTACTACTATCATGCAGACTTTTTATTATCCAATCAACAATTTTGGTAGTGAAGTCATTATTGTACTATCTTATTCGTATTGGGTGTCTTGCATATTAGTATCACAATGCAAGTCCGCATGTATGTGTCGTATGTTTTTCTTAAATTTGTAAACTCACTCTACACGACAGAAAGGTTTGAGCTGTGTTGATAGAAACATCTGAAGAAACGTATGAGATTGTAGGTCTTCTAGGAGTAATGTTTTCAACCATGCTCAAGTACATCTGGAATGTTACCTCTATTCTAAGGAGTAGTACCACAATACCCATTGCACTATAGTTATCCCATTGTAGTAGGGTCGGCGCATGCTATGTATGGCCTACGGTCCATGATACATAGAACTTTATTATTGTAAGAGTAAGTGTGTTTTCGTTATCAATAAATCTCAAAAGTTTTTTTTATCAGTATGTGTATATTTGGAATCGATTCCGAGAGCCCGACAGATTCTTTGGTGGTTGTAAACCAATGCGACTTGAACTTCTTTTTAAACTTGCAACATGCATGACTATAAAAAATTAGGTGATGGATGGTTTCTTTGTTGATGCAAAAGCAACAGTTTGAATCCAATATGAGAGGTAAAATAGACCTTTTCCACCATTTTATATACACAATAAATTGGGCCTCAATTAGTTTGAGGCCAAATATGAAGTCTAACTTGAGTCCAAACTGAATCCAATTTATTGCCTCTTTGGCATATTTCCAGCAATCTCCATTTCGCCCAGTTTTGATATGAACATATCAAGACATACTTCCGTGTCAACTACTTGACTGTTCGGAAAAGAGCAGCTATTCTAGTCAATAAAAAGCTATTTTTAATGTACATGGGAACGGAGAAGCAATGAAGTGCAGAATTACAAGGTGGCAGCTTTATGGGGGATCAGGAGCTGCCATGGGCAAGTATATACATTGCAGAAAGGACGGGGAGCAAGACGATACTTCCCTCCGACAGGAAGCAGGCATTACAGTTTCTTGAGGCTGTTTTGCACACTGCGATCGTGGTTTTACGATGAGATTACGCAGTTGCTGCAGCTGCGGCTTCCTCGGCCACCTGGGACGCCTGTTGCAGCGTGCAGATGAGGTTGCGGTCCCCGTAGACGTTGTCCACCCGACCTGGCAAGAGCGCAACAGGGGAAGCAGAGATTAGATTAGCCTCGCTCGAAGTGTTAAGAGGCGAGAAGGCTCGCCCTGGAGACGACGGTTGAGCTATTCGTACCTGTTGTTGGCCAGAACTTGGCGCCCCGGAGCCATGCCGCGGGGAACGCAGCGTACTCCCTGGAATACGGCTTGCTCCATGTGTCACCCATCAAGAGTTGCGGTGGGTGAGGAGCGCCCTGCACAATCAAAGCAAAAGCACAAAACACCTGTGATCCTCTCTCTGTAAACATGCAAGAGGTGTCCTGGCTGTGTGCAAAACCATCTCATTGTGCAAACCTTATAGTAGCATGCTAAATGACACGTACTCTTTATAGTTAGTGATGACTTCTTTCTTTAAAGTTATTGAGACCCAATAGGCAAGGAATATGATTCAGAAGGGCCTAGGAAGCGCTGACTATGTAGAGATATGGCTTGATATGGTGAACAATTGCTACCTGACTGATACCATTTTTTGACACTAATGATATATTACCTTCAGGACATTGTTGAGCACATCTGCTTTGCCATTTTCTATCTCTGCAATCTCTTCCCTGATGGAGATAAGAGCATCACAGAACCTGTCCAGCTCGGCCTGCCAAGACAAAATGTTATGAATATCATAAGCTAATGTGAAATCAACTAACTGATATAATGGGAAGCAAAAGAGTGCCCAAAGCTACATATGCTTACCTTGCTCTCACTTTCAGTTGGTTCAATCATAAGTGTGCCAGGAACAGGCCATGACATAGTTGGTGAGTGAAACCCGTAGTCCATCAGGCGCTTTGCCACGTCCTCTGGCTCTATACCAGCAGTCGTCTGACAAAGTTCCAGGAGCCGGTTAGAGACTGCAATGCATCGCTGCATGGTTCAATTGCTAATATGATTCAGATATAAGTACCTTAAATCCTCTTAAGTCAATGATGAATTCATGGGCAACTGTTCCGTTGACTCCACGGAACAGAACTGGGTAGTGTTTCTGCAAAAAGATCATTACCAAGTAAATTTTATAAACTAATTTGATGAATATAACAAATGTCACTAAGGTATGCTATCATGAATGAAAAAGTACCTCTAGACGTTTTGCCATGTAGTTTGCATTCAAGATCGCGATCTTTGAAGCATCAGTGAGTCCCTGTGAACCCATCATGGCTATATATGCATAGGAAATTGGCAGAATCAAGGCAGATCCCCATGGAGCACCAGAAATGGTACCAAGAGGGTCGGTTTTCTCAGGGAGAGGAAAGCCACCAGTGGGAATCTGATAATAACCGGATTAATCAGATGATGTGGTTGTATTTTCTTTTGGATGAAATGATGGAAGCATGCAGAAATTATGAATATTTTTTCTGGTTCACTGCTCTGCATTTATAGAACGGTATGATTTGTTAACACATCACCACTAAATAGTACTTACAGTAGTATCGCCTGCAATGCTTTCAACATGAAAGAAAATGCTGCAAACACTTTCTTGCTTCACTAGTTTAGGACAGGACATGAAAATAAGTCCTTAGGTTGCAGAATACGATAGGACAACAAGGGTTCTAGTCTTGAAAGAATAATGTAAGATTGGTCGTAGCATAGAGAAACACTTGGGGAATCTATCTTAATCTTCAATTTGAACATCTTAGGAAACTGTTCTTGGAAGTTAAACATGGTTATAGTAATCTGTTTTGTGTTGTATGAACATGGAACTTTACAAGCTCGTAAAATTAGAGTGCAAGGCCGTGACACTTTCTATAATACTAAACTTGTGTCACAAATCAAGTTAAGCGCTGAATAATGGGCAGTACTAATATGCCTCAAATCTGAATATATGCCTCAGATTGGAATATGAATTTTTACGGATTGACCAACGAGAAGATAAAGAATTAAGGGAACCTACCACTGGGTGAGATGGTAAAAACGGTGCCAAATGCTTCTTAACCCCAATAGGACCCATGCCGGGACCACCTCCACCATGTGGAATGCAAAATGTCTTGTGAAGGTTAAGGTGACAAACATCAGCTCCAATAAAACCAGGGCTTGTTAACCCAACCTGTAAAAAGAAAACTTTTGTAAGCTCAAGGAAATTTCTAGTGAACCGATTATTTTGGCAATAGCTATCCAATAAGGGGCATTTAAGTCCTGTACTAGGTTCAGGTGAACTAGGAGAAAATACTTTTGTTATAGAACAAAAAGGAGTTAGGAACATACAGTTTGATAGATTATACACAAAATCTAATCACTAAATATTTTCAAGAGAACCACAGAATTACTTATCTTGCTAATGCTAAGTACTGAACTCTAATAGATTTGTCTCGTAAGTTCACTACACAAGTATTTTATTTTCAAAATGAGAAGAATCAACTTCATCGCATTGTTGGAATGCCATCTACACATAGCAATATAAATGTGTCCCATAATTTTTTAGAATAATAATTTCTTGAAGAGATTGCTTGCATAATGAACAAAGTACAGAAGATGGAATAGCAAACTGTGAAACAGTAACCTGAGCATTCATGTTAGCCCCGTCCATGTAGACCTGTCCGCCATTTTCATGAATGATCCTGCAGATCTCATCAACGCCTTCTTCATAGACTCCGTGAGTTGAAGGGTAGGTAACCTGAAAATAAGTCAATATTGTAATACTCTGTTATTCTCGGCATACAGCAAAAAGAATTTCAAAAGTTTCTTTTGAAAACAACAAATTCCATCCTAATTGAATTTTTCATTTTCCTTAAAAAAATCCTAATTGAATTTTCACATTTCCATGGTTCAACAATATTCACTCTAATCCACCAATTATCTGTACATCAATAAACGAAGTGGTGGGCACCTCTTTCTATTCCTCCTATTGTATATGTTATGTATGACAAGTACCATTAGATGAAGTATTATGAGGCAGATGTGATTGCAAAAGTCATCTAACTTACACCATAACACTAAATAAAGCAAGAAGGCTACACAGTGATAATCTTTCTAAATAGCATAAAAATGAACTACATAAAGGTGAGCTTTTTTTTTCAAAAAGCCAAGGGCGAGAGAATCGCCAGGCATATATTAATAGAGATGAAAGAGTAAATGTCCAATGTAAATCTAAATATTAAAAGAGCATAACAAGAGCAAGAGTACCATCAGAGCAGCCAAGTTGTCCTTGTTTGCTTCTGCAGCTTTCCTCAATTCCTCGATGTTTATGTTACCCTTGGAATCAGTTCCAACAGCAACAATCTTCATTCCAACCATAGCAGCACTTGCAGGATTTGTGCCGTGTGCTGAGACAGGAATGATGCAGACATCACGGTGGTGGTCTCCTCTTGACTGCATTTTATCAGCATAATTATTTAACAAAGATTACTAGAAAAGCAAGAGAGGAAAAGGCTAGGCCACATAGATCATGACATACGTTGTGGTATGCACGGATAACCATCAATCCAGCATACTCTCCTGCAGCACCAGCATTTGGTTGCAAAGAGAAAGAATCAAAACCAGTAATCGTGCATAACAGGTTGCCCAGGTCGTCAAACATTTCCTATGACAGAAAACAAGTTACTTCAGATGTTTGGAAATTCATGCTGCGGATACTTTGCCATTAGGATAGAAACTGAATCATGGTCCTTACATGGTACCCTGCAGCCTGATCAGTAGGGGCAAATGGGTGCAGGTTCGCGAAGTTGGG